CCCCGCACACCTCTGAAAATTAATGCGGACTGGCAGCCTAGAGTCTGAGTTGGCATGCTAAGGTCTCCCTCGCAGGCCGAGCAAACTTTGCCTGGTTTGTCGTTCAGACTGACGTATGAGACCCTAACATGCCAGTTCAGACTTAATGCTGCCGATCCGCATCGTTTTCCAAAAGATGGTGGAGGTGGAGCTTCTCTTGGTGGGCGGGCTCCCTGTGGCAGTACACAAATGAGAAAATTTAGAAGAAAGATCAAAATTTTGCAAAAGGTGCAAGGTGGGCGTGCCAAGGAGGCGGAGCTTGGTGTGTCGGTGAATAAATGCGCGCCTATGAGTGCCTCCGTTCTGTGAAGGGTGGATGTGAAGTTAACAAAGTTGAAAAGATTGTGAAAATTTGAAGTTCGTAACAAACTCTTTAGAAAAATGGGCGTAGTCCGCTGTGTCGGTGTCCAGTCTTTTTCAGTCAAATTGTAGGTGCGAAACAGCAAAACCAAAAAAAGTCATAGAAGCAGAAGTTATGAAACAAAATTTGAAAATTTATGTCCGCGCTGACAAGTAGGCGTGGCCGTCGGGGCGGGGCTCGCAGTGGTGTCTGGCGTGATCTGGTTGATGAATTGCCCGGTCAAAAAAAGTGTGGTGAATTTGAAGTGAAAATGGTATATATTGCGTTATATGGTCTGTTATGCAATTTGCTATCAATCAAAAAGCTTGTACGATCATTATCGCTGAAGACGTTCGGGCGTGTCAGCGGCGCGTGGGTTTTGGCGCGGCGCCAACCCCTTTCCCACCAATCATTAAACTCCCTAAGCGGCAACGATCTGTGGGAAAAATGAGGACGCCGCTCCAAAACCCACTAAACGCTGGCACGCCCCGAACTAACTTTAGTGATAATGACTAACGTATGTTACAGATGCGCTCAGTGTTGTTGTACTGGTTGCCGTGGCTTTTACGCATGAAGCGACCAGGTGTGAAGCTCACCTACGCAACACTTCCATCGCTATTCAACTCGAAACTGAAGAGTCATTCTGAATCGCTCATTAGGAACATCAAGGAGAATGAGTCCAGTACCTCTAGGTAAGAATCACTCAGTCTTGCGGTGAAACAATGCGTGGCGCAGTTCGGCGACGGTGCACGGGGAGGGGGGGGGGGCATTTTGAACTTTCACTGCTTCACTAGTTCCGGTTTACGAGTCTCACTCTGGTGAGAACCTTGAACTCTTGAGAAGCTGGAGCAAGTTCATCGAACCACATTAAGCGGTCAACTGGTGTGGAGCTCGAAGAAATGGCTCTCCTAGATGGGTCCGAGCTTCGTCGATTGGAAGAGTGGCAAAATGCCCCCTCTCAATCGTCGAACTTCTCCCCAAAGCTTTAATATTGATCACGTTATTTTTGCTTGCTAGAGAGTCCTTCTTGAATCTTTTTCAGATCAAACTCTCTTGAAATTGAGCGACGGGCGAGCGCCTTCACCTGCAATATATGCTCTTCATCAAGGCATTAATGAATGGCATCTCACCGTGCCACAGCCACTGGCACACTCGTCAGGTTTTGGACATCAATTATTTAAGCATATGACAGCTCTACTAGGTCGAAATGAAACTCTGTGCCACTTCAATAAACCCCCCCCCTTCTCACCGCCCTGGTCGCATAGCCCTACGCAGCTACCCGTGACTTGACCCCAGGTTAGGGTGCATTCGTTCCCACAGTAAGTGACGGCGGACCGGTTCCGTTGGGTTTTCAAGCTCAGGGCACGGTCTAGCCGCTGGAGAAAAACTATTCGCCCTTGTATGATGCACGGCGGGCCCTCACCCTTTTCCCATCCTACTTACCACTTTCCTAGAGTTTCCACCTTCTTACCCCTTTTTCCGGAATTTTCCGAAAATTTTCTAGTTTCCAAAATCTCTCTAAAATTCTGATCTGCGAAAAGTCAACAAAAAACAAACAACGAAAAAGTCAGAAAAATTCTTCCCAACGCCGCAAATTTCTGTCAAATGCAGGTACGACCCCCCTCTCCCAACAACGAGGAAATACGACCCCCCCCCCCACCTATTATAGTGTTGCAATGAAACAAGAAAAAGTCTAATTACCAAGAACATTTCGCAAACCATTTAAACCCAGAACGAACTCGCCCGCGGCGGGGGATTTCCCACAACGCATGACGCGGCTGCTGTTATCAGAAACAGCCTGTAACCGATATCGCACATTGAGTAGCAGCCGTGTCTGAGGTTCGATGTCAGATTTTTCCCACTTCACACTAGAAGAACTTCGTGGCAAGCATAGTATGTGGTAGCAACTAAGCCGCCCAGCTGAAACCATGCACATAAGCTCAGTAGGATTCTTCAAGGCGTTACGAGCAAGGCAAAAAAAAGAAAAAAAGCAAAAGCAAAAACCGAGACCAATGCCAGTCTGCCGTGGCAAAGCAGATGTGCATGGAAAAAATGTCCTAATGTATGTAGCGCTATTAGTGCTGGAAAGGGTGCTGCTGGATCAGAGGGTCACTGCTGATAAGGGAAAGCATGAACTAGCGATAGTCCTAGGTCTGATTGACTTCAAAAAGAACGGCAGAGCGATTAGCTTGTGAACTTCTTCCTCTTAAAAGGCCATTTCTTCCTACTCCATTTAGCGCCAACATGTGGCGATGATGGCATCCAACTGGTTCTCTGCTGTTACGGAGGATTAGTAAGCATTCTAAGCTTACTCACAGTCTTATGAATCTCTAAGTAGTCCTACTTATGGTACCAATGTTCACTCGGACGAGAAAACCGATAATTGGCAACTCTAGAATGAAAGCTATAAGGCTTGTCTGGTTGAGTTCCTCAAAACGTGACGGGAGGCTTGTCGGATCGTTGTTGAGTCCGGAATCATGATTCCTAAACTGCGTCAGCACATCGCCCCGACTCTCAAACGAACATCACAGTCTGCCGGCCTGCTTTTCCCAGAGGAATACTGTGGATAAACGCAGAGGGCCCAATATCTTCCGGCGACTGCATGTGGCGATGAGCCACCGACGTGGTCCTATTGTTGGGCGCGTCAGCGACTAGGCAAAGTGGATAATCGAGTCCGATAGGCATAGCGCCGACTCAGCGCCGCCACGCCGGACCAAATCAGGCACTCACGAGGGAGCAGGAAATTTATAGATATCGATCTAGCGTCTATCAGCGTCCACCTGCGACCACGAGTACAGAGCATGGGGAGGTAGGAGGGAGGAGGCAGCTGGATCAAGCGTCGAGAATTGTAGCATGCAACCGGCTGTGCTACTAGACAATACCGTACTCATGGACGCTGGTAGCCGCTGTCACAAAGACCGAACGCACCTTATTGTCATCAGTGTGAGCGATTCAATGATTGCTTCCATAAAACCTTTCACAGTCATATCCATGCTGCTGCAAATACAGGAAATCTATTACTGATGAATGATTAAGTGGTTTGTTTCGTTTTGAGTCTTTTGTGTGGAACTGACTGTACGTCGTTACATTTTAGATTTCTGCTCCTCTCGATATCGGGCAGCAAGCAACTCTGCTCATTCTGCAACGAATCTATCACGAGTTGAAGGTGAGCCATGATAATTCAAACCTTTCTAAGAGACTACTGATCAGCTGAAGAAATGTAGTTCGGCAGATTACTTTATTAGCCAGCCTACGAGATAATAGAGGCCTAACAACAAGTCTTTATATTTGGGCAAAGTCCATAATATACTGCTTGGAATGATGATGCCATGTTGGAACACTATAGCAGTAAATGCCGCCCATCAAAGACAAACTGAACCTTCACTCCCGAGGAGGCAGCTATACAAAGGTGACACTTTCACCACTCGAAGGCGCGCGGAAACGAAGGTAGCGTCTGCCCGATGCTGATAGCCTCTTCGCCTTGGTGTACTTCGAAGTGCAGCTTGAGTCCAATACCAAAATCTCAAATCTTTTCTATGAGCGGAGATGCAGACTGTGCTAACTATCACTACCCTGTGGCATCATTTGTGCGCACTGTCCAGTGACAACAATGTCGTACTTGTACAGCTGTAAACTCGTTCTCATCACTCACAGCAAGGATTAGGATCCTTGGAGGTGCGAGTACAGGTTGTCTTTGTGCGTTCGTCCCGTTCACTACAGGACACCACCTCTTCATTCCATTCACAAATAAGCTAGTATCCAACCATTTTCACCGTTGTATGGGCCGCAGTGAAAGTAATTGCTTCCGTGGATGTTTGAGTTGGGCGCGACTTAGCACAGGCCACATTCACTTAGTAAACGCTCTCGTTCCGCTAAAGGGGTAGCTAGAGAGATCCACATCGTGACGTGGGGTTTTGAGTGGTATCACTTGGGCGGCGTTCGCATCAGGACTTAACTCATTTATCGCGAACAGGGCACAGCATTCGATGGGGATTTTGGTCGAGCTTTTACGACCCCCCCCCCTTTTTTCAGGGGCTGGTACGACCCCCCCCCATGCTCGTACGATGTACGTCGCATGCTTACTATACATATCCTCCTATGAAGTAAACCACAGTAACTCCTAGGCAGAAATACGACCACGCCTACGCAACAATGAAGACAAATACGACCCCCTCCCTCCAAAACGTCCGCAAAGCGAGAAAAAATCCAACTATAAAAATAAATTTTTCCCAGCCCAAATACGACCCCCCCCCTTTTGGCGGCCAAATACGACCCCCCCATAGGGAATCCCCATCGAACGCTGTGCCCTGATCGCGAAAGTACTGCACTTCGTTGACTAGGAGGCGAATCGTTACTTTCCAGTCGCGGCGTAGTTGTACGAGTTGACTTGGCAGCCCACGCGCAGCGCCGCTGCCATGTTGAGATGCTGTGCGTAATTTGCGGCTGCGTCAACCAGCGTGTACCAGTGTCCACTAGCGTTCCGAGCGTCCGGGCGACTAGAAAAGTGTAGGTATCAACCTAGCGTCTGCCAGTGTCTGCCAGCCACTGGGAGTAGAGAGTATGGAGAAGTGGATAGTAGCAAACGCTGGATGAGGCGTCGTGAAATCGCGGCGTGTGCAACCGTACTCTAATCATCAAACACTACACACAACCGCCACTATGTTGACGCTGCCGGACCAGGGCACGCCAATTGCGTTGTGATCAATTTCCATGAAAAATACGACCCCCCCCCTACCATCTTACAAGTACGTACCCCCCTGACGTACGTTAATAAACACATGAAGTACATAGCCGACTTTCCTGAATCGTACGAAGCACCTGTGCCTTGCACTTGGGAAGCCCATATGCTAAAGTTACCACCTTCCAAAACCTGCCGTGAAACCAAACCCTGTGTGCATGCATAGGCCATTGCACGGGTTGATGCCAATTGCCGTCATATAGACCATTTTCTTCAATACCCTTTGCGGAAACATGTGTTTCAGAAGCATACCAAAGTCTCCAAGCCAACTGGAGGTTTCCTGGCCTCGGAGGGGTTGATTTTTCGTGTCGTGGGGGGTGAGCACGAGATGATCACAACACGGGAAATTTTTTCAAACAAGTCCTAAGGGAGAAAGTTATTAAATCCCATGCTGGAAAAGTAGAAATCTTTCAAGCTTCCCGGCACTTCTTTTTTTACGAAAAGGCCGTGTATGAAGCTTGCCATGGACGTCCAAAGCGTAGCGACTCGCGGTTCGCAAAAATGATCACAGACGGATCACAAAGATGATCACAACGGGGAAAATCTCTGGAACCGGAACGTTTTTGAAATCGCTCAATTCAGGTGATAAGAGCCAACCTAGCTCTACTCATTCCCACTTACCCCTCTCCGATAGCTTAACTTTCAACGAAGTTATGGGTGTTCAAATGAGGGGTACTTTTCGAGCGTTTTCGAGCGTTTGGCTTGAAATTGACTGTGGGACGTGAAATAGCGTGTACCAATGAGACGGCACTTTCGGCGCGAACAACTAGCATACAAATTTGGTAAGTTGTTTTTTTCTCATTTATTTTGTGTATTTCAATGCTTTCTAGGTTTCTTTTTAGTTTCTCGGTATTTTTTTAAGTTTGTGATCTAGTTTCCGCCATTATTGGGAACTTTGCCCACGCGATTGACCCAGTCTATTGGTAAATCAAGACCTCCTTTATCGTTTTTTTCTAGAAGGCCAGATTTGGCTGAAAATTTGCACACAGTGTCACTTCGACCTATTGAGCACGAATATCATATCCGTTTTGAATCAATTTTCGTGATTTGGGGTTTTTTGGCGCAGCGCCACAGGCGCCGCCGCCTATATACCCTAAACCACCAAAATCGATGAAAACTTGTGTTTCATGGGGGTTATTTGCATCCCTGTTCCAATGACATTTATTCCTGGCGCAAGTGTCAGCGTACGTCATCTGCGCTTTGCCGAGACTGAGCCTGGCCTGAGAGAAATCATTCGTTTTCCCAGTTTCAGCCTCAGCAGAGCGCTTAATATGGAGGTACGAAGAAATGATGTCATATTCGTGATCAGGACATCTGATAACATCTACTACAAGTTTCAGCGAAAATTTTTCTCGACTCCTTGGCGTAGGAATAGTTCAATAGTGATTAGTTCTCTTTATTGTCATTTTCATCGTCCCTTTCGAGCTTCTTTTCACCTGTACCGAGTGCTCTCTCCACTTTGGAGTGGGCGATGCGCTTACGACCCCCCCCCCTCCATCGAGGGCAAATACCGGACCGCGCGCCGACCCCGGCCGGTGTGTGGATGATCACAAAGATGGCGTGCCGCGTGTGCCTGGAGACGCATGGGACGCTCGGTGGACGCGGGTAGAGACCTAGAGGGGAGCTACCGGCGAAGGTGTGAGAGGCAAGCCTGCGTGTGTGCGAATGAGATGGAACTCGTAGTGCCGTGCCGCTACTACGAGCTAGGCCTCACATCCAAAGTACAGCATCGTTATGTGCGAAATAGCGGTGTCAGTACGACCCCTCCCTACAAATTCCTCCTTCTACCCATCACTTTTTGAATTCTTCCAGCTTCCCTACCACTTTCTCAAGAAATTCTTCCAGCCAAACAATCCAAATTCTGCTGTCGAGTAAGAGAAGGGGGATCGGCACCAATCAACTCCTTGAAACTAACAAAAATAGCGTTTCATAATGGTTTTGAGCGTCAGCTACCCAAGAGGTTGCCGTCGAGTCTCCTAATGACTCCCCTACCCATCGACCACATACGACCCCACTCCCCAGCAACCAGGTACATTTCATGATAGGCTTTTTCCAAGGATGCCGTACTCTGTTCACACCATGGAACTAGTTAGAAAAGCTCTACTAGTTTTTTGTGCGCCGTCTGTGCTCATCGTGGATCTCCTACGAATGGGCTCCTTTCAGCTACGCTCAGCTTGGCTCACCCATCACCACCTTCCGCCCCCCCCCCAAGGTGATTTTTGAGGTTAGGAGTCTACATGAAGAGCTTAGCTCTTCCATAAATCGACAGTAGTCATTTCTAAGAGTCTGCATTAGCTTCCAGCCACTAATTGCACGGAGTTTTTTCATCAAAGAAATTTGCAGATGCCGTAAGCATTTACAATCGTGATCCCTGCAAGTGATAGAACGTGACGGGGCATGGAGCGCAGCCAGGGCAGCTTTTCCAACCAGTTGTGGAGGGCTCAACATGGCACCATTCATGGAAAATTTCGTCCCGGCCGCGCTCCAGTCCACGCCCCGTCACACGCCCTATCGTTTGATGGGATCATGACTACATGAGTGTAACTCGAGAATCATGAACTTATACAATTCACAGGTGGTAACAAAGCGCATGATGGAGACGGACAGAGAAGAGCAAGCGGCAAATAACTGGAAGTTCGCAGCGATGGTGGTCGACAGGCTATGCCTCTACGTTTTCACAATGTTCATCCTAGCCTCCACAGTCGGAATCTTCTCTTCAGCCCCATATCTTGTCGCGTAGATACTACCCAGTGCTCTTATAACGCCTCAAGTCATACAGTTATATACCATATCACTTCCTTCTCAGTGCAGTTTGAAAATATATTTCTAAATTCCCAATAAATTAAAGAAATAATTTAATTCAAGTGTTATTAGTGCTTTCGCTGGAAATCTTCACTCGCGTCGGGTTTTATTTTTTGAGACAATAATTCGGTGCGTACTTGTCCGAAATTATCCATCGTTGTGCCCCACTTATACATAGCACGTGAATATTGTCCACCCTGCCTTGCACGTGTTGGGTTTCTTTGATGAGCTTTTGTTTTTTTTTTTCTTTTCTTGTTGGATGTGATATTGTTTGAAATATCAATAATCTGCTGCTCATTTATTTTGCTTGAGTATAAATATTACAAAATTCTTATGGCTCCAGT